ATACAAGGTAATTCTAGGAACTCATTAGCGAATGCGTAGTCACATGCCGCTCGAATCAACCGCGAAGCCTACCTGAATGCTGCCTGCAAACCCCGACAAGGCATTGGTCACTCCATGGGCCATGAGCTCACGGTCCACGTTCAGGTTATCCTCGCCTGTGGATATTCCAAGGGCCGGAACATTGATAGGGACATGAAGAACCCCAAAGAAGGTGAGGGCAAACATAGCGGGAATAGTATCCACAAACGCAGTCCAATCCACAGCACCGAAATCTGCATGTGTCAGCTTGTATAGCTCCAAATAGCCGGAGGACGACTCACCATAAAGTGTATAGAAATGCCACCAGGGGTTCGATGATGACGGAGCCTCAAATACCCAGCCACTATGGCGCAAGGCGTCCATGGACACCCGCGCGCTCAACTTGACAATGTAGAAGATGATAGCTACGCCAATGAAATAACCACCCACCAAGAAATTCGAACGCACAAAGCGCTTCAAAACAAGAAGGCCAACTGCAAGCAAAACGGGTACAATCCAAAGAAATACAGTATCCAGCTGGAAGAGTTTCTGCAACGTAGGAAGCGTATACTCAAGAGTTCCTGGTAGTCGAGCCGACACCTCCACGCCGGTCTGCATGAGGAAGAAGCCCACACCACCGATACAGCCGATCAGGATGTGCCTGGGGAAGAATCCAATCAGAGAGCCCAACCCACACGTTCCCATCAAGAAAAACACCAACCCTGTCAGAATCGAACTGACAGAGAAGGCCAAGATGCAGGTCGCCAGAACAGACTTTGGGTTATCCTGACCAACGCGGGCTAGAATAGTGAAAGCCATCTGATGAAAGAAGGGGACGACTTCTATCATCTCACTGCCTATACCTCCCCGAAATATAGACCCTCCGCAAGAGAAGACCAATTGAGAGATGATGGTACTGACGTAAAACATGGAGATGCCATCCGATCCCAGCTCGGAGAATATCGGCTCCCCCAAGGGAAACAAGATCATTCCGTACGAGAGAGCATCGAGGATGTTGAGCAAGAGTCCGAGGAACACGGACGGAAGAAGACTAACTGGTTCAACGATTCCCCTCTGCCACACGGTCCGCCTATCCCATGACTTCGGATTACTCACTGATCGAAAAGTAAAAGCAGCTTTCGAAAGGGTCTTATGAAATGCACTAGATCTCTGATCAAGTGTCACACCCTGTCTCTCAACGTCTTCTGCAATTCCGTAGTTACGACTGTTCTTTGACTGCGAGGATCTGGGAAGTAAAGAAGTTCGTTCGCTGACGGGGGCCTCATGCGCGTCGGTTGTGAAAGCTGGAATTGCTTCATTCTCCCTAACGCCGCTCCCTGATGTGCCGCTGTCCCTGTGGCCTAGGCCACTTTCAGGGTAGTCGGAAGGACTCCGAATCATCTCGGTCAACACCGAGGATCCCGTAGCAGGGCCAGGGAGCGACGTGATGTCAAGAGGAGCGGACATTTCAGGAACTACAGTATCAGCTGGCGATGAAGAAGAAGCGTTAGGTTGAGAGGCCTGGTGAAAAATGTCCAGAGACGGGGGAAGCGTGCTTCGTTCCTGTGGTAAGGAGCTTCCATTAAGCGACAACGCAAAGGATGCCAGTTCGGCCGTTTGCTCTCGGAGGCCATGGGATGAATAATGAGCAGGGTCTAAGTCAGCTGGTTAGCATTCTTACTACGTCTTTGCTCAGATCCGAGCTTCCATGTATCGCATCGCACCTTGGGTGTGGTTGAAGGACCGGTGATAAAAGGAGCGGGTCGGAGTCCTGTAACTGCCTCCACCAGACCCCGAGGCTTCAATCCCCAGAGTTCGAGGAGGACTGCCACCGTTTGCCTGTTCAACGGGAACGTCAATCGAGTCTCGATCCACGCTGTTTGGGGGAGAGGAGCGGCGTGGAGACAGTCGAGAGGCGCATGAATCACTGCGACCTCGCGATCGGAAGACACCCATCGTGGAGAACGCCGGACAGGTCAACTCCCGGGACTTTGGATAATATGAGCGTGCAATCACGCAACGCCGACCCCGCAAGGAACTTGACCTGGTGGCTTAAACTTCTTGATAACAATGGTTGGGTGCGGAGAAGAAAGATGGCAGATGACGCAAGTGTCAGGCAGAAAACCAGGGGCAATTGGCATCGCTATGCTAAGGGGACATTGTGCGGGAAGAACGACAATGAATAAAGCTAGAAAAAAAAGGATATCGATGAGGATGAAGAGGCTGTTGGAGTGAGAGAGAAAAGGACGAGGTGGGCGAGAAAGCTAAGCTAAGCTAAAGCAAGGAACTGTTATCGACGGGTGACTAAAAAAAGTCTTATCACGGGTTTATCACCGCTCCACCCGGGGGCTGCCTTAGTCGCCTGGTCTAGCCTGCCATCCTACAGAACGGAGTACGGACTAGTACTATTATGGGGCGAAAGAGAGCGAGTGGGTTTGATTTATACGATGTGCTATCAGTTGTTGATGGATCATGGCCCATCATGAAAAAAAAAAAAAACTCGGTGCTATCGTATTTCCGATCGAGTGGAGTCTGTCTTGTCAGTCTCAATAGCCTCATATCACGGACCAACAAGGTAATCGCCGGATATTTGCTTGCTTATGCCGCGTCTGATATGGGAAGCTAATGCAGGCCTTAGGCTGTTTCTGGATGCAGCGCCGATCATGCAGCTATGTGTCGTATTTCTTAGTCAAAGTAAATCCTGATGTCGACCATTCTACCAGGATACATCTTTTAGGATGGTCTTTCCATCGGGTCTATCGGAATTTATATACAAACAGATTGGGTATCACAAAACTAAAAGAAATCATCATTAAACCAATCCGGAAGAACCGGTCAACTTAATCGCTCCAAAAATCCCTGTGCAATTAATCTTTCCACATCGCCCTGCCGTACGTACAATTGACTGTTTTTCGTCAGATTGATAACCCTGGTCAATCGTTAGCTCTCAAGTACCACGTTGGAATGAATCAAGCCAGCCAAAAAGCAGCGGACTGGGTATAAGAAAAGAGAATGACAACGAGGGGACGACATACCCATATTCCGTCTGAATCTCCCCAGCATCTTTCAACACTCTCACATCAATGAACAGATCCTTCGGAGGTTCCAAGCTCCCCGTCAGATCGATCTCCGTCCACTGTCCCTTATACGCAGCCAGCATATCACTATATTGCCGGAAATACTCCTCCTCTTCGGGGCTTAAAGAGCTATGATTCCCTGCCTGCGTACTCATGGGCCCCGACGACGCTCCCTGCCCATCCTCAGCCGGCTGCTGCTGTTCTAGCACGTCGATGCCGGTCCAGCACAATTCTTCGAGTTTCTCGGTCCGCACGCGGTGGTAGGCCAGGAGACATCGCTTGTTGCGGCGCGTGCAGAGGTGGTCGACGAGTAGGGCGCATGCAATGTCCGGCTGAGAGGAGGGGTTGAAGCTTCCTTCGAAGGGCGCGAGAAGACGAGCAACGTCGCGATCTAGGTCGCGTACTTCGCGGGCGACGGCCCGGACCATTTCGGTCTGGTAGGGCGGGAGGTGAACGAGCGATTGGGTACGTTTGGCATGTTGAACCTAGTAGGAGCGGAGTCAGGGATATGTGAATAATGAGGAAGGAAAAGCCATTGGGAGCGATGGGACGTACCAACTTATTTCCGAGTTCGCCGTACATTGAGGGGGGTCGGCACCAACGGGTCTTTTGATGATCGAATAGTAATTGAGTGTAGGGACTGAGCTGTTTGGTCTGCGGTGATGTATAGGAGGTAATTCAAGGGCCCTAGACTGTTCGGTTATAAATAGATTGCAATATCAATTGTCGTATAAAGTGGTGAGATGATGAGGTGGGTGAAATAGACTTGACAAATATCAAAGCATCTGCGATACGCGTGATCCCCGCCGCTCCAGACTCCACGTGATGGAGCGCGCCAAGCCTTCTCTTTGTACTCCGTCCCTGTCCATAACCACTCCTCGGTGAGGTGGTAGGATAGGTCATGGTGTTTAGGAGGACCTCTGCAGCTGGCATCAACTCACGCCTGGTCTTTAGGCTTTCTTTCTTGACTGCGGCAGCTATTCAAAGCGCTAAAAGTCCCTTAATTTTGTACTTAGAACTAGAACTTTATATAGAACTAGTTAGTGACGCCCAGGGCTTACCCCCTGGCGGCCTTTGCCCCAGCAGGGGATGGCGGGTCACGTGCCTAGGCGGTGAACCGCGGCCGTAAAATATAACTAAACTAAACTAAACTAAACCACTCCTCGGTGCAGTGCACGATGAATAAAGGCCATGGGGGCGTTCAAGGTGCCCCAAAATCCATCTCAACTCACCAATTATATGCCATGGTCTGCATGCACTCGAAAGAGAAGGCAGATTTCTGTCATAAAATATCTTTTTACCCTCTCCAAGGTCTCCCTTCGATTATATAACTCTTGGTACAATCACACTCGAAATCTCTGTTTTGTCTGCTTCCATTGGCCTCACTAATCTGTTTGGTACATAACGCTCTACAATGAAGGGGGAAAGGGAGCATATTTAACCTTAAATGACTTAGTATCTCCTGTATAACGAATGGAACCCATACTAATATTCTATCACTAACAAACCACCGAGACGCAAACGTACAATAACCACAATTAATGAAAGCAGAATTCCACCCTTGGCATGAATAAAACTGTCGCAATCATGCCAACCAGAACGAGGCAAAAAGAAAATTAACCAAACCCAGAGAAAGGGAAGGGGAGAGGGGCAGCGAGCCCAAGTAGAGAATGAAGACAAAGCACGAAATGAATAAACAAAAAGGGAATACAAACAACATAGGGTCTGAATCAACCAGGCTTTGAGCCTCCCAAAAAACAAAAAGGTATTCCAGTCCCAAGAAACAAAGAGCCTACCCAATTTATTCAAGTAAAACATGGCATATACACCATAATGAATGATTCCGTCAGGCTTTCATCATCATATCACAACTATCATCTCAGGACATACTATAGGGGATCTACCCTAGTATCCTGGCTGATGGGAGTTAATCCAATTGTCAAATTCACCGCCGGTTTCCATGGATCCATCATGGGTCGGGTCCCATGCGTCGCGACCATCCATCCCAGCCGGCGACCCCGTATGGTAGACCGGTCCTGACTGGTATGAACCCGGCTGGTATGCTGACCCGGCGGGGTAAGTCATCGAGGTGGGAGAGAGTGTTGTGGGAAGATACAAGTTGTTCGCGGCCGTTTCATGCCACGCCGGATAATGAATGTTGCCGTAGGCACCACCATTTGAAGCATCACCTGGGAGTCCTAGCAACTGGGGGTCTAGCTGTCCGTCGGGTCCGGCCCCGGGAGCCGTCTGCGGCTGAAGAAGCTCATGGTGGGCTGCCCCTGGCAATCCCGCCAAGGCAGTGGATGTAGTGTACTGGACATCCTGCAAGCCCACCCTCCTAAATCGGACATCTTCGACGTGAGAGCCCATCAGACTGGGATGAACAGTCTGTTGCATAAATTGGGGGGGCTCGGGAGAGGACATCATGCCAGGAGCTGGTCTTCCGGATTTGCTGGAGTGCCAGGAAGAATTGAGATACCCCCCTGCGGGTAGACCATGTTCAACGAAACTAAACGGGGTCGAGCCACGGCTATCCCAACCGCTGCCTAGGTCTGAGCTGATAGATCGAGCGGTATGGCTCGAGAAGGGACTAGACTGTAACGGGCCTTCGATGGACTTGTCCGGAGTTTTGTCCCGCTTCTTTTTGTCCTTTTCGGGTGTGAAACGGTATCCCGGGTGGGCTCTCTCGTGGTTGATCTTCTCAATCTTCGCCAGAACCTCATACTTCTTGCGGACTTCAGGCGACTCAAGTCTCCAGCTTTCTCCTGCCGTCTTTGAGACAACCTGATGGTTGCTTTGGGCGAACCATGACTTGGCCCGATCGGCATAGGCCGACCGATAGAGCATGAATGAGTTCATGGGACGGGCGATCTTGCCCTTCTCTTTGGCTACTTGTTGACGGACTTCGATCGGTCGGTGTACCCACTCTTCCATGTCTTTGACCGGCACCCCGGCCATGTGCTTGGTCAATTCGCTCAGCGGACCCGGCATCCCAGGGTAGTCAATCTTCCTCTGCTTCCCACTCCTACGAGGGGATCTAGGAGCCTTTCTGAGCTTCGCCTTTGGGTGGGGCCTCGATTGGCCCGGAGGCGAAAGCCACTGTGATGGAGAAGAAGGACTGCCGCGGAGGAAGTCGTCGTCCGAGGTAGGGGGTGGTGTTTCCACCTGGACGCCATTCGGGATCATTTGAGTCGAAGGCAGCGGCATGGTATGCGAAAAAGGGGAGTTGTGATAATCCTGGGTCCGGTTAGAAACTGCGAAATCCTGAAGAGGAAGAGATCTGGTGCTCACCATAGATGATTGGGAACTACTACCGTAAATGGCCTCGTCAGCTACACCGTTTCCGTGGAACGCAGCAGAATCAACAACGCCGGGTTGACTGTACCGAATGGCAATGCACGGATTCTGATGAGGCTCAGGTGTGGCCCCGTCAGTGGATTGGGGAGGAGAGGGAGGATGTCCAGAGAGGAATCCAGTCGTGGCCGTCATGTCGGGGTCTTTCTGTTTGGGGGATCCCCGCGACGCAGGAAGTAGGCAAATCTGATTCTTTTGTTCTTTCGTTTTTCAGACCTTGGCTTGTCAGATGAAGTCGGCGCCTTATCGCAAAAAGTCGTCGGGCCCTGGTCAGAGGGAGTTGATCGCGCAGAGACGGGCGGCTGGAAAGGAGCCAAGAGAGAAGCAAACCGCAAATCCCAGGATCTCCAGAGGAGAATGAGGAGAAGTTTAGAGTGAAAGAAGAGAGACAATGATAGCAATTGTCAATGTACTGATCCACTCGGTGGGGGGACTCTGCATGAGGCTCTGCCTGCGAGACAACAAATCACGGTCACCGGGTGGCTAAGAAAAAAAAGAAAGAAAGAGAGCAAAATGGAAGTCAAGAAATGGGGAGAGAGATTAGAACAAACGACAGGTGAGACAGGCAAGGCTTTTTATACGCAGAGGAAAAGCTTTGATTGAAGGGAAGAAAGAAGAGGTGGAGAAGAAGAGCGTAGGGCAATGAAAGCCAGAGAGAAAGGGAAAGGGAATTAGCAGGTAAGTAAAACGGGGAAGTCAATCAGACACTCAGTGTTCAAGGTGTATCCACTATCAACCAGCTGCTATAGGGGAGGTTTTATGTTTTACCCGGGAGGATCTGCAGCGACGAGCAGCTTCATTATAACATAAAATACAACGGCAGGCGGGAAGGAGGCGGGCTAGGAGCAAGCGATGAATGATGTTGCAGACAGTCGTTCTAGATGGCCGCCCATCCATGGAATCCCAGCGGCTGAGACCCTGACTCAGGCCCAAGAACAGTCCACCTTGTTGGCGGCGGCGGCGGTGTTTTCCTATTCCTGCTTGGGGATGGTGATGGCGCTGTCTTTGTCCAGACTGCTAGGACGCTGGATGATTGGAGGAGATGGGGGATTTCTTTTCTGGCGAGATGATTTTTGTTTCGAAGAGGAGGGGGAAGAAATTATTATTATTATTATTATTTTATTATTATGATTATGATTTATTTATTTGGTGTGATTTATTTTATTTTCTTCCTTTCCTTTTTCTTTTTTTTTTCTTTCCCTGGAATATTTTCCATTTATTTTTTTTATCCTTCCCCCCCTCTGATTAGTCCTTCCAGAGATTTTAAATCGATCTTGATATTTTTATCCTTCTTTTATGATGATTTTCTTGACAACGGTGGTTTCCATTCCCTCCCTCCATCTCCCTCTCCCTCCCTTCGTCTTTGTGCCAAATTCAGTTCTGAATGCCTGCTTAAGGAAGGCTTCTAGATCTCACCCTACAAGGCTCTCCAGACCAAATGCGGCTATTGAAGAAAACGATGCCAGAGTCCTCCGCGCTCTTTGATCCGATCTGAAACCCTCCCCAGACGCGAGAACCATTGTAGATCGCAATGCATGGAGAAAAAGTGGCCAGGATGTCTGTATATTCTTAGGATCATGTTGTTATTCCTGGTAGCAGCTCGTTACAGGAAGTTGGGGGAACCGCATATACTGTCCTCCGTATATTGGCGCGGAATTATTAATAGGACCCAGACACTAAGGGAATAATGATAATATTAATATAATTTTTTTTTGAGTTGTGTCACAGTCTAACGCTCAAGCCAAGCGTGTCACACATGGATCAGGGCAGATCCTCATACCATTCATATCATTAGTTTAATCTACGCCGGTCCCGAAGGAGGTTTAGTCTCCTGCAGAGGGGAGTTTAGGGAGTGGATGCGCTTCGCATAGGCCCCAAACCCACTGCAGGTCTACCTAGTCCTGATGCACCTCGTACGAACCTGTCCACTAGTTCTGGAGGGACCTATCAACAATCAGGAAATTATAGCGAGTTCACCGGTGCAATTAATTGCTGGAAACTAGGTCGATCCTTTTTTTTTTTGGTTAGAACATCACCATTCCATTTGCGCATTTAATCAATTCAGAGAAATTAGAATGGCCACTTCATCTAACCACCCGCTATACTCTCCTTCCTCCTAGTCTCAAAGAAAATAGGCTCTTCCTCCGCCCTTGATGAAGTGAATCCCTCTATTGTTCTCCTTCGGTGCCGACAGAGTAGTCGCGTCGCTCGTTCCTAGAACAGTCTGGACTAGTTAGAAAGCTACGCTCTGCAGGACATTTTGCCTTTCCCTCCCCATAGTACCTAATTCCTCCATGACAGCTCCTTTCCCAGTAGTCCATCCATGGATTGAGGAACACGAAGAAACGTCACCGATCCTCTCTCCCCCAGCTTTCCCGTCGATCTTCCCCTCTAGACCCTCAGTATCGTATGGGAGCTCGTGGTTAGCCGAGCGAAAAGGTTCGTCCGGATACGCCTTCAACTCTGTTCACCCGTGGAACCGGCCTTGTCGGCTACCTTTTGCCTTTCCCATCGCACGTGCGGTCCTCATAACTTTAGTGCTGTTTCGACCGTGGTTTCCTACCTCCGTCTCTATCCACTCCGCTCGTACGGACCGAGGACGTACGCCGTCGAGGAGGACGCGGCCGGGGCCAGACGGAGAGAGAAGATAGATCTATATTGTTATGTTCCCCACATCCGACCTAGTCGATCACCACTAGTAATGGAGCTAAGATGGGTCTGGGTAAAGTCCGAAAGCCCGAGGGAGGAAACGCCCGGTGCCAATATCGGCGATCTTAATGAGTGGAAACGGTTCTGATTAGGCTGGATCCGGGTGCTGGCAGCTTGTCGTTGCCATGTTTTGGCCTCCAAACGGGCTCGCTCGTTTAGTCGACCGTAGCTCTACGTACTAGTTCGGTTAGCTCCACAGGTCGTGGGCAGGTTATCCTGGCGGTCTCTGAGGTGGTATGTGCGTTCCGTTCTGCTGATACGATGAATTACCACCTTACCTGGTGAACCTCCAGGGCATTTTGTATCTGTGTATGCTATTATACTGTACCTGGTAAACTACCTATAAGGTTGGACTGTAGATAACAATCTACTGCTCGTGTTAGCAACCCATCCTGACTGCCCACCCCCGACCGACTCATGCACGACCATGATTTATTGCGACCAGTTCTTTTTCCTCTCCCGTCCGCTCCCCCCCATCTTTAGAGTTTCTCGCCAGACAGATAAATTCCTTGACCAGTCGTTGGGCGAAAGCCCCATGGAAATGACAATTACCCAGCGTGCGGAGAGTGCACAACGTAGTATGTACTGCAATGCAATGCGCTCCTTGGCGGGTTTGGATATCTCGTCGTGCTCTGCTGGAGCTGATTTATTTGATTTTTATTTTGTCTTATTTTATCTTATTTTGCTTCATTCGATCCGGGTACTTGATTTAATTTCATTTGCGATTTTTCCTGCTTCTTGATGCACCCCACACCACCCTCCTTTTCCACGCGCCATCTATATCTTTTTAATTTTCTTTTTATCTTCCACCCAGCATCCTTATCCTTCCAATTTGCATCAACTATACCCATGGGCGTTCCCTTTCCTTGACTTCGAGGTGGTCACGTGGAACAAAGTAATTTTCGTCAGGTCAGAAAGTCAAGCAGGTAGTCTCGTAGGTAAGAAGTTATTGCCCAGACTGGCCCGTAAACTCAATGCCACTGGGCTGGGCTCTTAACAGAGAAAATAATAATAATAATAATTAAATTAAATCAAAAACAAAACAAAACCGACATCGGACAGATTCCAGATCATTCGCACGAGAATGTCTTATCATACCGAGGCGCACGAACTGCTACAATGAAGATGTTTCTCTTAGATTGAACCTCATCCGCAAAGAGGAGTCCTTAGTATACTTGATGGAGGGTATGTGTGTCCATGTCGTCTGTACAGCCTTCATGTCGCACCAAACGGTTTTTATCTGTAACCATTCCCTCCTCCCGCGGATAACCAGGTAGGTGAACTAGGTAGTACCTGGGTTCTTTTTCGCGCCTCCCTCCCACCAGCTCTTGGAACCTGCAGTTTGGTCAAAGCCAGGGCGAGTTGGTAACTCAACATGTGGCCGGCCGCCATGTTGTGAACCAATTCTCCCCTCCACCCCTCGTCTCTTTTCTTTTTCTTGGCCTGCTGGTCCCCAGGGTTGAAATGGTTGAGGATGCAATGATTGATCCCCGTGGTTTTTTTCTTTCTTTTTTCTCCATGACTGGTGGTGGAGGGCCCACGGGGGGCTTGAGCACGCAACAGCGCCCACGTAGCGCAACTTTCGCGGATGATGGCGCTAAGAATGTGACTTGCGGCTTGCCTGCGATACAAGGGTGAGGGAGTGAATGTGTAGGCCGGGCTTTCTGCGCCAGTTTTTTCGTGACAGGTTGGTCTCGTGGGTGTGGCCGAATCCGGCGATATTGAATCAATTGCGGCGGACGCTACCTTACCTGCTACCGCAGTTGAGGGGGATGTCCATTCATGGAATGGACCAGGTTCAAGAGTGGATCCCGCGTAACCAGAGAATGGGGGAGGGAGGGAGGGAGGGAGGGATGTGGACTAGTAGGGATTGATTTGATGGTTCAGGGCCAGGGCCATGGACATGGACATGGTTATGGTTATGGACAGGGTAGTGAAGAAGAAAGACAGGGAGCAAAAAAAATAGGGTTTCTGGACGTTCCTTTTCCATTCACTTTTCCCCTTATGCCTGGGTATGTACTTATTCCTATTCATTCTCATTCATTGACAGGCATTCGTCATTCATCATTCACGTTCCTCAGGGGTCATTCATCCATTCATTGACGATCTAAATATACGTTTCCTTTCTTTCATTTCTTCTGCGCCCTGTACTTTTTTTGTCCCCATTGCTATGGCAAATGATTGTAATGGATATGTGTCTCTCGAGTCCCTTGTTCGTTTCATCCTGTCTCAGTCTTATTTCTTTCATCTACATAGAACGAGTATTATTATCCCCATTTTCCCCTCTAGACATTGGTTAACAATGGGATCCTGAAGAAAGAGAATAAGACATCGAGTCAGGACTCGAACGGGAGGGGGAACCAGGATAGTTTAGAGAGGGGTTACACATCTCTCATCAATGGAAATGAGGCGAAAGTGGTAGGGGT